GTTTGAGTGGAAGTTCAATAGACTTCCTTTTTGTTTCTGCGTTTACTTGAAAGTTGGACCTGTTCCACTGAGCTGTTATTAAGTGCATAATAAAGTATTTATTAACCTTTATAAGTAGTGTGCCCACTTTAGATCCAGTACCTGCAGAGAAGCTTTAATAACTCTTAATAAGTGCATAATAAAGTATTTATTAACTTTATAAGGCATTAATATAACCTAATAATGTCTTATCAATGTCAATAAATATCTTATGAACGTTGATAAGTTGTCTATAAACAAGTTTCTTCGTGTTAATTAATATCTTACAAGCCAATTATAAATGAATTTATAGTTTAATTAACATGACATAATAAATATGTTAATTATGCCTATATTAACACTTATATAGTCTTATTTGTGTTAATAAGAATCTAATAAGGTGTTATAAGTGACTTATAAGTGACTTATTACCTGTTATTAAAGAGCCCATATTATGCCTTTTAGGGGTTCGTATATTTAATCTATGTACCTACTTTTGTACGTTTACAATCGCTAAAGTTTGAAAAAAGTGTCTGTACTGCTCCTCCTTGCTCCCTCTACGCTGAGTCTGTCAGCTACGCTCTGCTGTGCCCACACTGTTTGATCCCACGGGGCCAAGTCTGCTCTGATTGGTCTGCTGATCCGCTCTGTCGTTATTGGTCAGTTGCTCAGCACGCTTCTTGGAAATTTCAACATGAGCTGCTGGGTTTGCCACAACGAGCCAATGGGCTTAGATCAGTGATCTCACACTGACAGTGATGCCGCACTGACAAATTTTTATCGAGGGGGGCTAAAAAGAGCGTTACATGCAGCTAATGCTACAGCTAACAGGAGGACGTAGGAGAAGCTGTGTTTCCGCAGACTTTGAATTTTTGCACATAGATGTGCCTAAACATGCACAGGACACGTGGAAACACACTAAAGGGCATCTAAAACCAGAAAAGGCATAATATGGGACCTTTAATGCTTATTACAAGCACCTTAATATAAAGTGTTACCGATATCTACAATTCCTTTTTTACTAGTGGAAATGTTCATTGTAGATATCTGTAACTTAATTACAACTAGTCAGCTTGAGCCATTGACTTCTATTCAAATTGAATTAAACATATATGTAATTCAATTTTTACATTTTGTAATTCAAAGTCCACATATCCATAATGACATTTTGACATGTCGCAATTCTAATTCATGACATCTACAACTCAATTCTCATATCTACAATTGTTCAAAAATTACAGATATCATAAATTAATTCTATATATCTAAAATGCAATTCTTATAGTCAAAATTACATTATTGATATCTTGACCTGGTTACACGTAAGAATGTAATTACAGATAAGAATTGCATTTCAGATATCTGAAAATCATTGCTTGATAATATATATAGATATATATATCTATATATATATAGATATATATATTGATTGGGGACGATGCAGCTGAGCGCAGGAACCCTGCACAGTGAAAACACTGTAGGGTTTCTGCATTATATCTGATTGCCCTTTTATTTACATTTATATATATATATATATATATATATATATATATATATAAAAGTACAAAGTAATCTAAATAAATGCTACTTAGCAAAAAGTCACTTTCCAACTGTTGAGGTTAATCGGATAAAAAAAAGCTGATTTTCAGTTTTCCTTTTCCCAATTCTAGAATAATCTAAAATATAGAAATGTAGATGAAAGGTGTGATTAGTTCTAATTCTTATCTATGCGTTAATGCCTTTTTTATATATTATCCACAAACCATCAAGAGTCAGGGTAAATGTAAACATGATTTATTTGTGTTATTTACAACATGTTTGGGACAGCAATTTACACTGATCTCTATTCCCCTTTCTCAGCCCGTTATGTCAAGGCAGATGGCTCTGCAGAGGTAAGTCTGATTCTACTAAGTGTCTGCCTGTTAAAAGGAAGTTTTTTCCTTGTCACTTACTGTAAATACTGCAAAGAGTATATTCTAGACCTGGTGTGTAAATGTAATACCTATATCTACTCAAGATTAAGTATGTGTTACATATTATCTAATGTGTGTATGTAACCATTTTCTTTCTCTGCCTCTGATTCACTGATTCACAAAGGCAAATTCACCTCTACCAAATAAAAAGTATGTATGTCACAAGACAAAGGAGCAGCTGCTCACTGATTAGCTGCATTCCTCACCCTGGGGGGAAGAGCACAGGGGAGGAGCACCCGTCTGTGCTGTCAGCAAATGTGAAAACAGTGGGGGTACAAACACACAGATGAGGGAAGGTAAACAAGTGTGCCATTCCTTGTTCTTCCTTGGCTGTCCAGCATAGATAAGATGTAGAACATGGAGCTGCTGTGGTGTGGAGTGAAAGAGTGTTTATGACCTCTGACAGAAGGACTTTATATTCATTATAAATATTCCTGCCACACTCCAACTTAAGTTGATTCAGTTTGTCACATACAGTAATACTTTACCTGCTCATTATTGCCAAAGGCTTTCATCAGATCTTAATCATATTTCTACTTTTTTAAAGCTGATGTTTTTTTCTCACATTTGGCTTTGTCATTCTGATAGCAGATTAAGGATAGACCACAGCTCTGCTGATGATTTTAATCACAACAACAGAAACCAAACTAAATATCTTGAACCATTTGACTTGTCTTATGTAAAACAAATCTGAATGGGATTTCTGCTGCTGATCAGAATCACCTTTACTAATTACCATTCATGCTTTTCATATGTTTATGTTGGTGTAATTTCAATATAAAAAGCCTTATAGAATGAGAAAAAAGGGATACAATAATATAAAGCAGGATATAATGTAAAACCTTACACATGCTCATAATGATGGTAAAGTAATACAGAAAGGGTAATATTACTTCTATAGATTATGGATCAGATAAAGTTCACTTCCATGGTAGACTGAAGGAGACTTATTTTTACTTCTTGCTTTTCTTAAAATAACACTCCCATTTGTGCCTTTTGTACCAGTTTGCTGTTCTCTATCTCTCAGCAGGGTGGAGGGTTCTTTGCTTATCCCAAAAGAAAGGGCTATTAAGGCCCATTAGGGACCATTAAACCAGACATATGGTGAGGTTTTTCACACCTGCATTAATAGGATACACACACCACCAGTGCTTAAAGTGTGTCTTCTTAACAGATCTTAGCTTGCGTTCTAAAACTATTGCAAGAATATAGTGACAAGTAACAATCCCAATGATATGCTTTTTTTTTTTTTTTTTGCTTTAAAGCCACACTAAAACCTTTTCTTTAATAGGAAACAAAGGTGGAAAATGAATTGTGTTTGCTGGCATTGTAAAGGGCCCTCCACTCTGCGGGCCTTCTCACATTGAACATTTTGGAGAAGAGTCACTTGTCCAAACAGTAGAGAACTGCAGGAAGGCGGGAACTCTCAAACCAACAGGTTGTCTATACAAACAAGGAGAAGAAACAAATCAACAAGAGATAATTAGACTGAGACCAATGACATCTAGCCTTTCAAAGCAAAAGCAATGTTTGACTAAAGTCACTTTTTTTTAACAAGAGGTGGAAAATAAGGTCTGAAATTAAAATGTTGTGATATAATGTGATTTTTTTAAACTATATTCTCATTATTCAAATTAATTCTGCTTTCTATTGAATTGTTAATGGAAGTTGACATGAGTATGACTCAATACAAGTGGGGAGGGACATCACATGCAGTTGCACTTGAATCCAGAATCACAATGGTTAGTGGAATGTAGGCCTATCGTTTCAGTGAAAAAATTGTTAAGCATGTAAAAATCTAAAAACAAATACTAACTGGTTGATAGTGAAATTAGATTTGATTGTGTTTTAAAATTACAACTAATAAATTATTAACTCCTTTCGTCCTTTTGAAAAATGTATTTTTTTTTCCATTTTCCATTCTATTACAAAGGGCTGTAAAAATGGGACAATGCCCTTCTATTAGTCATTTTGTAGAAAAAAAATGACAGATCACAGAGATGAAAAGGCTTGGGCAGATAACAAAATACAAGCTATCTTTAAAGAAAGCAGTCTTTAAAAAAATAAACAAAACAAATAATTATTTATCATAAAAATGGAAGTTAGCTTGCTTAAACTACACTACAACAAGCTGGCATAGCTGTGTGTCTGCTAGCTAGCTACTCAGACAATATTAATAAAACAACCAATACTCTTACGAGCTACAAGATATTTTTCTTGTTCTCCTGACATGTATCAGCCTACATAATATTTTCAATTTATATTCATTAATAATGAATAAATAAAACACCAACATTTATGTAACCTACATTTAAGATGTTGAATGTAAAAATGTTTTAATTATGTAGCCTATCAATAGAATCATTTTTATTAGCAATGTGATTTACCAGAATATAAGGTAGGCCTACCAGAATAGAGTTTAGGCATTGGAATTATTGAATATGTTGTTAAAGAAGAAAAACTTCAGAAAATGTCAGATATACTCACACTATGTGTTTGCATTTTTAGCCCTAAAAGTCAACATGCATTACTGAGTCACTGTGTTTAATTGTGTTTAACTAAGCTTACATGCTTTTCTTTGCGGGGTCAATAGAGTGGGGCTGTCTTTAGCTGCTTTAGTAATCTGCTTTCTTAGAAGTAGCCTATTGAAACAATTAAAACCCTCACGGTGTCATTTTTCCATACGCACGCACACACACACACACACACACACACACACACACACACACACACACACACACACACACACACACACACACACACACACACACACACACACACACACACACACACACACACTAGTGGGGCTTTATAAACTCCTGACACACACAGTCAGCTGTCACTGCGCCACAGCTCGCCTCTCATCAATGCTCTTTCTACAGTCCGGTTTTGCATAGAAGTCAGAGAAGTGTAGCGCTATAGCTGGCGAGTATATCCGATAAAAAATATAAGCTTTTTTTTTTTTTTATGTCGATAGAGGTGGATTTTCTCTGGAAAAAAGTGATAAGGATGAGATCTGAATGCCTGCTATTTCAGAGCCCGTCCTTGGTTGCTGTAACATGGTCACACCCGGTAACAGTGAGCAGCAGCTCGGACACAAACAACAGGTAGGTACCTCCGGCCGGCGGTAAGCATGGAAATCTGATTGGGTTAATTCTGTTCAATTTAATGAATGACATGTGCACTGCTGTTACAAAATTCAAAATCGAGTCACGTCTGAATCCCAGTTTACCGGTTGAGCCCATATTTTGTAATAGTGTGCTTCCTAGGTGTTTGGACTTCTCGCAGAGATATCTGGTTTGATAACGCAAAGCTAAGCAAAAGATCACAGTGGGAGCAGATACCGGGAACTAACTCTAGCGAGCCTAAGCAGCCCAAGTAGTTGTAAGGTTAAAGTAGCAGATACATCGTCGCAGACTACAGTTCATGTTTGAGAGGGAATTGGGATGTTTATTGTCCAGAGGTGCATCTTTGTAGTTCATGTAGTTCGAATTTTGGGAATTACTTACAGATTCTTTGGGTCGATGTTCTTTGATGGGGACACAACTTCTCCCAAGTCTTTAAAGCCACTGTACTGGCTGCATGCTTAAGCAGTCCTCTCAGACAATTCCAACATGTTTTGCACATATGAGTCACTTAGACCCCAAGTTATGTAATAAATGGAACCAGGTGTCAAAACACTGATTCTATTTGAAGTAAAGTTGCAGTAAAATGCACTTGTGACTGAAATCTAGACAAAAGCTATAGCAATTAATGTTGTTGCAATATAGTATCAATTGTATTACACATTCTGACCCCAACAGGATTATTTCTAGTAATTTCGCCATTAAAAAAAGCAAGTAAAAGAGGCTGCAAATCAACAGTTTTTCTATTAATCAGTCTTTACTTGCATCTTCCCTCCCTGCAGACAGAGCTCACTGTGGAGGCCGTGGTTATCCAGCAGCAGGGACCAATCAGAGCGAAGCCCTCAGAGCAGGCTCTCCTGTGTGAGTAGCAACTCTATCTGTCCGACACCAAATATTGGAACTGAAACAGGAGTCAATCCATCAATCTCATTGCTGCTATTCTTCACTTTAGACAGTTATTGATGAGTCTTTACTATAATGATAGTAGTAATGATGTTCTCTGTGGGCTAAAAGATCCTTAGCTGATGTTGAGTTTTTTTTATAGAAACTTCTGGATTCATAAGGTTATGTTAATAAAGCCAAAGGAGGAAGTGTTGCAGTTACAGTAGCACATGCTGTAAACAGTGTGTGTATACATCACATCACAGAGTTTACATACATTCAGTTAATGACGATGCAGCAGCTAAAGATGGCTGATTATTTTTAATGCTAGGACATAAATCCTGCAAAGTCTGATTAACACAGCTGCTTTTACATCAAAATATTTCAAATAAGTTTTGGTCCATAGATATTCAACACAGATTAAATGAAATCATTAACTTAACTTGGCTTCTATTTGGCCAAATACTGAAGTTATTTCCACGTATTTGTCATGGAGTGAAAGTATCTGACCTAATAACCTTTCTATACTACTGAAATGATATTACAATTTAGAGTTTTTATGTGTGTGGTTGTAACATTATATTTTAATTAAATTAAATTAGAAAATGTAAAAAAATGGATCATTGAAAGATGGAGAAACTTCTGGATCCCAACACTGACTGAAAAGCTTATTGAGTTTCACATCCATCACTGATGTAACCGGTCTTATGGTTTTTTTTTCATGCTCTGCTTCGTGTCTGCTAATGTCAGGCTTTTAAATCATGATGAGGCCTATATAAAAGTCAGGAAACCCAATTTCTGCCCAAATTTCAGATTTCTGCATGGTCAGGAGGAGAAGTGCAGCAAAGGTTTGTTTATATGAAGACAAGTGGTTTAATGACTGTTTCCACAGCTTGTGCCCCATGTGATACTACATGAAATATAGGAAAGAATAAAAGCTTGTTCTTTTTCATGGTTTAAAAATGTTCAGAATCATGCAGGTGTGAGAGCAGGAACTCTTCAGTTTAAGAACATGTGTGAACATTTTATAGTGTTTACGTTAACATGTACTCACTCCTTTGTCTGTGTTTACTCAGCCATACTCCAGATCATCGGTGCCAGGCTGCTGCTCATCAGATGGGAAACGTCAAGCCTTCCAGCACCCTGTCAGGTCAGGTTTTCACTCTCATCAATGGGCACTGCCTTCTATCTGCAGAGGAATCAAACCTCAGAATGCAGTTTAGCTCAAAACATCTTGTTATTGTACATCCATACCAGTGGTGTGCGATAGGACGATCTTAGGTCGTGAAGGATTATAATTTGTTGACAATCTGCCAAAGCATAGAGATCATAGAATCGGGCTAATGTGTTTATTCTATCATGCTGCAGTTTAGGCTCCTACATAGACACGTCTCCCCCCCTCTATTGCTCCGCAGCGGAGCAGGATTCATCCATCGCTGAAAATGAAAAAGAAACTTAAGAGTTATTCCGTAAAATGAACTATATAACTGTTTGAGATTTTTCCAAACCGACAGGGTGCAAGAAAATGTATTTGCAAAGTTTGCACTGTTAAGGTTTTGTGCATTTAATAACATTATACAGGAAAATAAATAAGTGGTTGAATTTGGTATTAACTTGCAAAATGTTCTTTAAGATGTATGAAAAAAAATTGTGATCGTGATACTGACGTAAAAACATTGTGTTATAATATTTTTTCCATATCGTCCACCACTAATCCATGCCCAAGTTCACTAAATGGTGGACTGAGAACAAGAAAAACACATGAAATTTACATTGAAAAGCAAGTTGCTGTCTTTGTATCCATTAACTTACTTACATCATTGTAAGTAAGCTGTGGCTTAGTTGGTAGAGTCGTTGTTCCTCAACAGGACGGTTGGTGGTTCAATCCCCAGGCCAGCTCCTGCAGCAGCATGTCTGACGTGTCCTTGGGCAAGACACCTGCTGATTCGTAGGTGACATATTAAAGCGTATGAATGGGATTAGTTACTTTTAATGATACTACATAGCAACTACTACCATCAGTGTGTGACATGTGGTGTAAAAGCACGTTGAGTAGGAAAAGTGCTACACATTTACCACTTGCTGTTATTGAGAAGTGAATCAGTGTCCACCTGCCTTGTTTTATTTGAATAACCCTGCTCTATACTCTTAAACACAAAAGGAATAAATGTCTTTCATACTTAACACTCATCTCTCCTCTCAAACAGGCTGTTGTGGCCCAGATCAAAGTCATTTGATTATCTGTACAGCGACGGAGAGGCCCTACTGAGGAACTTCCCCATTCAGGCAACAATCAGCTTTTATGAGGAGACTGAAAGCGAAGATGAAGATGAGGACTGGAAGGAGGATAGTGACATTTGAGGAGGGCCTCAAACAGCAGTCTCATTTCATGTCCTGCAACTGATGTAAAAGTGACAGAGAGACAAACCACCAAAAGAAGGCACTGGAGGAGGGCAACTCAGTCTGCAGCCTTCACAGGTGTGACCAAAAAGGGCTCTAAAACATGGATATGATCATACTACTACATTTTGCTATGTGAATGCCTGGCTTCTGCACCAGTCCTGCATTACAGCTCCTAAAAAGCTGACTTTTACAAAAGCTGCTGATCTAGTTTCTGATTGAAAACTCAGGGTTTTTTTGTACGGAGATAATAAAACTTTTATAAGCAGTGGAGATAACATAACATTGGCTCTGTCCCAATATAATGGTTGCATCCTTCTTCTTTGGTGTGTGCAGTTGAAGGCCGATTACGCCACAACAGCACATTAAAGGTGATGTTGCAATATGTCCTCTTTTCCTGGCCAATCCTCCTTCTAGGCCCATATTATCCCAATATTCATTGTGTGCCATTTTCTTTAAATCTATAGTTAGAACCAAAGTTTGATTTGGCATACAGTACGCAATTACAGGCTAAGCATGAGTTGATAAAAGAACCAAAACAATAAAATGTAAGTATGAAAATACAATTAATAATAAAATGGCAAGCAAAAAAATAGTCTCATCAGGATTCAAAATATGTATAGCTTTGTAAATCACCAAGGCTTGTTTTGTTTTTCCTGAAGGTTGCTCCTTCATGGCGGTTAACAACCTTGTGCTGGTCTACATAAATCTACAAGTATGGATGATTTGTTTGGACATAATAATTAAGGTATTGTACATCAAGCTGGCTTCCAGTGCAGTGTTTGAGATTGCAAGGAAATAGGGGATGGTGCTTCGTAAAGTGTCAATGGGAAAAGTGGAATCCTCCGTAGACCAGACTGTCCCATTTAAGTTTGGCCTTAGGGGTCTACACAGGCTACGAGGGCTGGGTCCTTCCAAACATGCTGCCTCCAAAATGAGACACACCTTATCGCTTTCTGATTGGGTCATATCAATTATACCATGTATAATGCCTATCACATGACCCTTTTCCTGAAACAAGTAGAATTAAATTAAACACAAATTACTGATTTCAGACTCTGCTCTTGTGGTCAATGCTAGCTGCTTGTCCTGTTGAAGTTCATATATAATGGCACTGCCTACAGCATGAGGGAGATATTGTTGGGGTGATTTATGACACATAAATCATGCCTGAAATCACAAACTGTTATTATTATTATTTTTTATTCCGGGCATGTGAATGTAGACAGATTGTTTAAAAATGAAAAAGTAGCAGTGTAGCTGCACCCTGAAAGCTCTACAGGATTATGTCACTCAAAGTAATGTGGAGTATTACTCAGACTTCTTCTGTTCATTTTCTGTGGACTTTAATTTGTGCTGTATTGCACATGCCTGTTGTGCACTTATACAGAGTATCTGCTCCACACTGATGTTCTGTCAGTGTCTGGTGAGAGAATAAAAGCCAAGCACCATGCTCTCCCATATTGGGACACTTGTTAATGTTTACAGAGAATTGAATTTGTACAGAGAATTGAATTTGTGCTTTTTTTTAACTTGTCATTTTTTCTGACATCTGTCTAATTTTCCCACTGAGCTATAAGAAATGAAATAAGCTATTTGGGAGTATTTCAAATACACAAATGTCCTATTTTTTCCACAATCATGGATGTGTTGTTATTATGTTCGCCTTTTCTTGTAATTATAAATTTCATGTTTAATTAAAGACTTCTGATGTAATTAAGAGTTGAAGTCTTCTCTCTGCCCTTGAAGAGGACAGGATAAAAAGAAAGATTAACAAACGCCCAGAGTCTGACACAAAAAGAGCCGGTAGCCAAATGAGAATCCAAATGAAATAAACTTAATAGTAAGTAAAAAAAAAATTGTGATCGTGATACTGACGTAAAAACATTGTGTTATAATATTTTTTCCATATCGTCCACCACTAATCCATGCCCAAGTTCACTAAATGGTGGACTGAGAACAAGAAAAACACATGAAATTTACATTGAAAAGCAAGTTGCTGTCTTTGTATCCATTAACTTACTTACATCATTGTAAGTAAGCTGTGGCTTAGTTGGTAGAGTCCTTTTGGTTGGTGGTTCAATCCCCAGGCTAGCTCCTGCAGCAGCATGTCTGACGTGTCCTTGGGCAAGACACCTGCTGATTCGTAGGTGACATATTAAAGCGTATTAATGGGATTAGTTACTTTTAATGATACTACATAGCAACTACTACCATCAGTGTGTGACATGTGGTGTAAAAGCACGTTGAGTAGGAAAAGTGCTACACATTTACCACTTGCTGTTATTGAGAAGTGAATCAGTGTCCACCTGCCTTGTTTTATTTGAATAACCCTGCTCTATACTCTTAAACACAAAAGGAATAAATGTCTTTCATACTTAAAGAAAAATAAAATAAAAATACTTAAGTAAAATAAATAACCAGAAATAGACAACATCTATAGATTAATAGTAGTGTTTTTTTTCCGTAGCCTAATTGTTTTCTTAATATGTGAAAATATAGTATTAGACACACACACACATACAAGCACACACACACATCTCTCCTCGGTCCTCTGCTGTCGTGAAGTGCGTAGTGAGCCGTAAAGTGGGCCAAATGGAGCAAGAGAGAGAGAGACTGGGACGAGCCGAGCCGACAGACTGGAAGTAGGAAAATATCCGGGAGAATTTCAAGAGAGAGTCTGGCAATCGGGTGTAAAATACAGCGGGGGGAAAGGTTTAAAAATAAGGGGATTCCCACTAAAATCGGTTGTGTTTGCAGATCTGCGGTTGATTTTTTTTGGGGGGGCTCTGCTTTTCGCGTACAAGGTGTGGCGTGCTCGAGTGTCTGCCTTTATACTCCATACACGGACACAGTCCCTCTGAAGGGCAAATGTTACAGATTCAAGCGGTTTTTATCACTCGAACCGCCGTCGTCTACTCGTCTCGCCTCCGTTTGCTGTCCTGTCATCCTCCGTCCTCCAGGTTGTTTCGTTTCCTACAAGCGAAAGTGTACCCGCCCCTTTCCCCTTCGTCACACTGTGATTGGGCACTGGCGGGGATTCCTCGCCTCCATTCGCTTCAAGATACGTCAATCACAGGTGACAACGCGGCGACACAAGTGGGAGTTCCCTGGAATCGGAGAAGGAAGGGAAAAAGGCTTTTATGAAGAAGAAGGTGGGTAAGAAGATTTTTTTTTATATACATCCCTCTCTCAATCTACACGTGTCTGATTTATCCATTACGCCTCAGCTGTGGGATGTTTATTAAATTGTGAAAAAAATATGTTGAGTGAACATGAGTCCATAATGAAATGTTGATTTGCAGTTATAGAGAAGGCACGAGTCCGGTTCTCCTCGCCTGATCACATCATAACTGTGTTTCATTCACATAGCTTAGATATGACTCATTTTCATTTTCGCCTGCAACTGTAAAAACTGTTCTTTTTAAATAAGATCTGCTGTTGTTGTTGTGTGTGTGTGTGTGTGTGTGTGTGTGTGTGTGTGTGTGTGTGTGTGTGTGTGTGTGTGTGTGTGTGTGTGTGTGTGTGTGTGTGTTAATTAATCTCTTTTTTAAATTGGCCAACTCCTACTCTTATTCTTTAAGTTGGGTTGGATGCAGTCTCCTCTATCTTCGCCTCAGTTACTATGGAAACCCCACACACTTTCTGTCTATATTTATAGTAGCCTATGGGAGGGGGGGGGGTGACATCATGTACGTAATCACATCATCACATCACATTATTTTATTTTAAGAAAAAAAGAGAATGTAGCCAAACATAATAACAGCGCTGACATTTTACTTAACACAGATTCAGAGTGAGTGATATGTTTGACAGTAAAAAGGAATCAGCCGCAAACCTAAAAACGCTCTTTTGTAAAACGTCTTGAGATAACAGTTGTTATGAATTACCGCTATACAAATAATGATTGATTGATTGATTGAAAGCTATTTTTTTTCTACATTTGAGTTTTCAGTTTTTATCTTGGATTTTTACAGATTGTTTTACTAATTAAGGGTGATCCAAGAATAAGATGAAACTTATCAACAGTACAAGTTGGCTTGTAGTAGGTTAGATCTTCTTTAAAGTATTTCTTCATTGAATGTATTAATATCTATAACTGTATTATGTTGTACTAACCACTAAACACTACAGTGGACACCTCAGTCCATTAAACACATATCACAAACTTATACCCAGCGTAACAATATCATAGTGTAACTGAGAATCCTTTTGATGCTCCTACACTTCATTAATATAATAAAATAACAACATGAGTATGAACGAGACAGTCCAAACTTTAATCCACTCATCGACACCACATCACAACACTTCCTTTTCTCATCCTCCAGAGTAAAAAAAAAAACATTTGACTTACTGTTTACTATGTGAAACTTGAATTCACAGTACTTGTCCCTAAGTTAGAACAAAATAGCTTACAATAGTATCATCTCAGATTTCTGTACAACTAGTGAGGCCAATTATACACCTGGGTATGAATTATTTTGTACCCTTTTCAGTGTGTCCACAGAGGTGACGCCTATTTAACAGTTATGCAGTTTCTAAGGGAAATGATTGTGTAATTGGATGTATGTTCTATGTCCCCCTGCAGGTCTGCACTCTCTCACAGTGCGAGTGGCTTGACAGGAGCATGGCTGCTGGTAAGCACCAAGTACACGTGAATGTTCAGAAACACCAGCTTTGTTGATGTCAACACACACACTCTACTTCCTTTTGGCCTATTTTATCTTAAAAGTTGCCTCATTTCACCTGAACATTTTGAAATAGCTCAAATGTGAGGAGTTCTGTGCAAACTTACATTTAAAGCATTTAAAGGAAACTGGCCTGACTCCAAGCTCAAGCCAGTCTTTATTACTTAAATGAGATAACTTTCCTTTAAGCCAGCTAGTTTTACCAAAACCAGAAACCAAACAAAACTAAAGGAAATTGATAAGAAAAGTAATACAGGAGATATGGAGAAAAATGGGAGACACCGCTTGCAACGCCACCTACCGGCGGTGACAGCAAGGAGGAATCCATCATATTAGCACTGCAGAGCTACACCGGCTCAGACAAGAATATTCAGATGCAGTAAATGAAAAAAAGAAAACTTTGAAGAGACAGATGACTCACGTTAAGGAACTGTTGAAGAGAACAGCCTCGTTGGAGCAACGCACGGTAGATATGGAAAAGCTGGGAGAGACGGAAGAAAAGGCGTAGCGGCTAGAAAAGCGCAGTGGCTTTTCTCCTCCACCAAGAGGCGAAGTTCGAGGCGAAGTGCAACGACTTAGATGCAAGGTGAAGATGAAACAACATTCGGATACATGGTATCCTGGAGGGCTTTGAGAAAAATGACACCGCTGGATTTATAAGGGATTTTATTCGCTTATTCGCTATATGACATGGATATTTGTATTGTAAGAGCACACGGCTCGCTGATATCCAAGCTTAAGGTCAACACCACCCCGCCACGGACGATTATTGTTCGCTTCGGGCGCACTCATTTTAGGCCCAGTTGTCCCGTACTGTGCTTAGTGTACAAGACAGGAGGACTCAAAAATAAAATGTAAAAAATATAAAATGGACGCGTGGTCGAGTCAGAATCTGCACATCGGAGAACAGGTTACAACGTGACTGTGGCTTATTTTGAGTCATTTTAATCAGATACAGCCATAGCACTCCACACATAATGGAAGGCTGTGCACGTTAATTGATTGATTGGTTGGTTTTTACCTGTGTTTGTGCTTGTGCTCGTTAGAACTGTACCCTGTTGAAGCACTTCTCTTCCAAGCGTGTCAGGGCCAAGGAAGTGTACTGTGTTTGAGCACTGATCGGAGCACTCGCACTAGTCAAACGAACTGGACTTTGGGGGTGAAGCGTGCTTAGGCATAGTACGGATTGCAAAGTGTGAGTGTGCATTTAGACTATCAGGTGATGGAATATGTCATTCAGACAGCATGAGAACAAAAACTACACGTGAGGAACGGACCATCTCCTCCAACCGAGACTACACAATGGAGGTAGGCTACAAAGAAAGAGGAAACTAGTGATGGACGTAATTAAAGCGCTAAAGGAGAAGTGAAACCACAGTTTCCTTATCCTGCTCATGTGTCTGGACACTGGGACTAAGAATTTTGCTTCACTATTGGAGGCTGCCCCTTTTTTTTAAAAGAGATGGGCAACAGAGGCTGATGATGCAGAGCAGCTAGACCACAGTGACAGGACACACTCACATCACAGAGGAGGACTTGCATGCATCTGTGACCCCAGCGTCTTGGTAGGCGTTGCCGCGCATTGTAAATAAACAAAACGCTGTACGCTACGCTTGCTAGCAATATGTCGCAGAGCTCCCTGCTCAATTTTTCTTTAATAAACTTGGCTTGATGGCCAGCCGGACACAAGGCCTAACGTCACACCTAAAGTGGATGTATCACTCTCCCCGGGCTCGGCATCAACAGGAGCGACTCCTCCTGCACAGGTGGCTGCGGAGCCTGCAGTATGTTATATTTTATATAGGCAGTTTATGGCTATCCTGAGTGTAATGTATGGTTATATTTTATATAGTTTGATTTCTATATGGGCGATCCTGAGTATATCTTTGCACATCAGCCCAACCTATTCTGAGATGATGCGCAGAGTCATTTTTTTTTTTTTAGCCCCGCACTCACCCAGCCAACAGCCAATCTGCTCCGCCCGATGGCGAATGTGTTATTTAACTACCTACTGCACCCAAATCATCCCGTCAATCACCAATTTTAAACATTACAGCAACACAATAGTAGAAAAAAGGGTTGCCTGCCGCTGTCTAAGGTGCTACATTAACACTTATTTTCCAATCACTGTTTTGTCACTTGACATTTATTAAGTCACGGTTTGAGGTTCAAGCCGTGCATCACTCATACTCGCTGTGCTGGTACTTCTACTTTTTCTTATGACTACATTGTAGCAGAGTGGAGCGTTTTGTGGCCTGTTGTGATGTTTTTGAAGAGGTGCACATCAATCTGACAATAAATGTGGCACACCCAGTTTTTCTGATGCACACCCGAAGTCTCTTTTCTGGCTACGCTACTTCTCATGCCTCTTATTTTTCGTTTCCTCTCTCCTCGATCCTCTCTTGAACCGAAAGTCATTCGGTACCGCCAAGTTGAAGGACGTCTCAAGTTGCTTATTTCGGCACTGAGGAGCAAGGATCGATGATCAAGGAAATAACTCGAAGGAGCTATGATCAACGAAACATGAGACCAGCCTTCCAGGAAGTCTTTTTACTGACACACCCGCCCCCTTCTTGAATATCACTCAGTTATTGGACCCTACATCGAATCGGATTTCAGTTAAACTTAAGCTGATCATAGCTCCTCAGAGTTATTTCTTCAATCCTCTATCCCCGAAATAAGGGACTTGAGACGCCCTTCCCAGGTTATAAGCAACATTGCTCTATTGGTCAAAAGGGAAATCCAATAGATAGAGCTACCCTGGCATAGATTAAAGATTTGGCTAGCCAACTGCATCTGCATTGCTTTCCACCAGTGTGCTAAATCAGTGATGGACTATAAAAGTATTGATTATTCTGCCTGTATTGTAACTTAATCTTTCTTTATTCCTTCTCCAGTTATAAGATGATGCCATGGTCTTGTTTATTTGTTGTTGGGGTTTTTTTGTCACATGGCTGCTCATACTTCTTTGTCTATCTATCTACTGTATGTCTATAACTAAGTAGGCCTACAGCCCATGTTGTTGTAGCCTTGGCTGTATTTTGAGATTAGCTGACAGGTTAACTATTTTGTTACTTATTGAGTGCATTCTTAATTTTGTGAGATTTGTATGTCTGTTTTCTATCCTGTTTTACTGTATGATATATTTAGCTTTTTGACAGCAGAAAGGTTTACTACAGTAAACAGCTGCCATTTTTGCCACTAGAGGGCACTAGATGACTATAAATATTTTACACTCTATACATGAAATCCTATTATTTCTCCAAAGATCATGTTTATGGCTTTAATTTACTATGTTGCCTCAGAGTAGTCTTGAAGATCCTTGGGAACCTTTCTGCAAAAGAAGAGGAATGATTTGTGTTAGTATGCATCTGAACTTAAGCTCTGTATTTAACCTTCCGACTTGGTATTTTGTCATGGGGTTGGGGTCATCTACCACACAATGTTTACTTTACTTAATTGTATTTCCTTTAGACAATTTGTTTGTATAGTTTCCTACAAAAATGGCTGACAAAGCAGTAAGGCCTGATCCTCCTGGACTTGGTACGCCTATTCGATTTTTGTGAGAATATGAAAGGTATGGGAGATCAGGTGATTCAGGTGAATGTTTTGTAACGTCTTAAACAGGTAAATACAGATTAAGCCCAAATTCACACATGCTCCTCAAAGACCATCCCAGGTCATGAAGGGCTTGGGTTAACTATTACGTTTTAAATTAAATTCTAGGGCTATATTAATTAATAAGAAAATTAGATTTTTACCCTTACAGAAGGTATACAGACACTAGTATGTAAATATTTCCTCCTCTGTTGATAGATTTCTTACCTTTAACAACTTGTTTGAATTCACAGTCTCTGACATTGGAGTCACTTAAAGCAAATCAACACTGCTGTCAAAGATAAAACTGCCTTGTTGAAAAAAAATAAAAATATTGACTTTTCAGATGACAGGTAGGGGGAGGCAGTCTCTGCTACGTCATGTGCACCGCTTGCTCTCATACAGTTGGTACGGTTCTTGATCGGATACATTGAAAAGGTGTTCATAATTATGTCCCTAATTTGTGCAATGCCATAGGAATACCATAGTTTTATCTAAGTTTATATGAGGGAAATAAATTGCATATTTTACCCATATTTTAAAAATATGTAGAATAAAAGTATTGAATTTCAAATAAAACCACATAATTAAGTGAAATGAAATGAAATGTGTAGAAATAGTTTAATTAATAAAAATAGTAAATGTAAGTTTGCACATTACAGCAACAATATAGGGGCTGTTGCTCTTTACGCATAAAGACCCCTGTGAGTCTATTAAGTTTTGTATGTCCGCTCAAGTCCATGCATGGGGATTACGTGTAATCTGCTTTTAGCATTTTTTACGATAAATTACTTCATAAAATAATGTTGTGTTTTTTAGGCTGTTGTATTCTTGTTGTATATTCTTTTGTGTTACAAGTGTTTGGATAGGCCTTTTAGTGTGTATGCATGGCTGTGCACTAAGTTATATACCTTAACCACCTCCAGCCCCATTATTTTGGTGGTCATGAGCTAAAAAGTTTGGCAACCACTGCATTAGACTGTTGAGATAACCTAGTACGGATGATTAAACTTAATGTTTGCTTCTTTTCCATGTTGTAGCTTTTCTCAATGGTCCAGATGCACACTCTGTCCTGAAGCGATTCCCCCGAGCAAATGGTTTCCTGGAGGAGTTGAGACGGGGGAACATTGAGAGGGAGTGTGGCGAGGAGAGCTGCAGTTTTGAGGAGGCCAATGAAGTGTTTGAGAACAAAGAAAGAACGGTGAGCTTATGCAAAGGGTGATTACATCATAGCAAATGTGTTCAACTTCTCCATTAATTACAGCATCATAGGCGGTAGCACAAAATGAGATTTGAAACATACCAAAAATACCATCATGATTATGAATCAGGCTGTGATGCTCTCTTTTTAAGTTATAATAATGAGTCATACCACATGAGGATGCAAATCATGATTTAGATTCTTAATCTAAAATCATTTAATTTATTATTGCAATTTTATCTTCCACCAAAAGACAGGACTACAGGGGGCGTCGTTAGCCTAGTGGTTAGTGCATGCGCCTCATGTATAGAGGCTATGGGGCTCAAAAGTGTGGTTCTGGAAGTAAAAATCACATTAATTTTCTCCATAGCCGATTTAATTATAAGCCATAATATACAAGGTAGACTTTCCATGAGCTACCTGTGTGTGAAACGATGGTCTATGCTCATTTAGAAGACACAAGTTTGTATGATATTAACCTTTTTTTAAGATAAACATGGTTTATTCGCATTATCTACACTACCCACGACCATGGAGTGTCACAGCGACTTCTCTGATTGGTGGAGCTTGATGTTACCATGGCAATGTTTCCCGCCCCTTGGTGCCAAATGCGAACGGATAGTTTCGCTAGCAGGACTAGCTAGCTGACACAAAATGTACTAATAACCTTGTCATGCAGCAGTGAATGTAAGGCAAGGCAAGTTTATTTATAGAGAACATTTCAGCAACAAGGCAATTCAAAGTGCTTCTCCCAAGACAACAAAAGCACCAAGACAAAAGGAAAGAGATATATTAGAATATTTTTTTTTAAATCACTAAAACAAACCATTAACAATCACAAAGAAGATTTTATCTGAAATTATGTAAAATTGATAAATCGATAAAACAGGAGAATGCCTAGAATTTGTTAAAATAATTAATTACAATTAAATGAATTGAAATAAAATTAGAAAACAGAAACTAAAAAATGAATAGTTTAATACAAAAAGTTCAAAACTTAAAGTGCAGAGTTACAATTTAAAATCTTATTAAAATAAATAAATACAATTATTTTAATGAAAGGCAGCTGTAAACAGGTGAGTCTTCAGCCGTGATTTAAAAGAACTGAGAGTTTAAGCAGACCTGCATTTTTCTGGGAGTTTGTTCCAGATATAAGGAGCATAAAACTGAACTCTGCTTCTCTGTTTGGGTCTGACTTTGGGGACAGAGGGCAGACCTGTCCCAGACAACCTAAGCGGTCTGGATTGTTCTTAGTTAATCAGAAGGTCACTTGTGCATGTATTTTGGCCCTAAACCATTCAGGGCCGTATAAACCAGCAGCAGTATTTTAAAATCAGACAGACTGGGAGCCAGTGTAATGATCTCAAAACTGGAGTAATGTGATCAATTTTCTCAGTCTTGGTGAGGACTGTAGAAGCAATTCTTGATATATTCTTCAGGTGATAGTAGGCTGACTTTGTAATTGTCTTAATGTGGCTTTTGAAATTTAGGTCAGAGTCCATCCCCACACCAAGATTACTTACCTGGTCATTGGTTTTCAATTTAACTGATTGAAGCTGTGTGCTTACTCTTAATCTCTACTCATTTGCTCCAAAAACAACTACATCAGTTTTATCTTTTGAGCAAAACTGACTCATTGATTTGTTCTTTGCATTTACCCAGTCCTTGTATGGGGCCATGGTCACCTGGCGACATGGTCACCTGGCGACATTGTAATATAGATCTGTGTGTCATCCGCATAGTTATGACTTATTTTATTGTATTCTATGATCTGAGCTAGTGGGTGCATGTAGATGTTAAACAGAAGAGGCCCTAGGATGGATCCTTGGGGAACTCTTACCTGTCCTTAAAGTAAGATTCAATCCAGTTTAGTACTGTGCCAGAAACTCCAACCCAGTTTTCCAGTTGGTCGAGTAATATATTGTGGTCAACTGTGTTGAACGCAGCACTGAGATCAAGAACAACTAAGACTGAGGTTCTTTTTTTTTTGTTACCAACTTTACCAACAGGTTTACATTATCTTGTACATTTAGTAGAAGCAATTCATTGCTCTGTAAAAGTATACACATAAGAGAAAAAAACAACAACATAACGTCACAAACCTTCACATATACAGTATATTTTTCTTAAACCCATCACCCGTCCCTTCCCTTCCCCTTGGGTCTTTTTCTTAAATGTACAGTGCAAGAAAGATGTTTACAGTGAGTAAGGAAAATAAATACTTAAATAATTGAGCGAATACATAATTCATAGTATCACATAGACTTGATAAAGAGTAATAGAATAAAAATAAATTAATAAAAATGTTGATAATAACAAGAAAATGTCACATCAAAGCTCGAGCAGCGTTGACCGCCTCCACTCTTTTCTCAACCACAACCGGACCTGCCTGGTTCATCCTAGCAACAAAAATCCTATCCTATAGTGATGTACGGGGGTCAATTAAGTTTGATAAATGAAGTACAGATTTATTAATTTATAATTTGGATTTTGAGATGTGCGAGATGTATATTGCCAAACTATGGCCCAGTCTATCGATGATTTAGGGCAGACTGAGGTTCTGCCAATGTCTGTGTTTAAACGGATGTCATTAAAAACCTCAAACAGAGCTGTCTCAGTGATGTACATGTCACGGGTGTGGGAAAACAAGTAAGTGGACCCAAGTGCAGAATAACCAAAATGATTTATTTTAACAAAAAGGCAGAAGGCAGACAAAAACGTACTATTCAAGAAGTCCAAACTGAAAAAAACAACAAAGGGTAAAAAAACACTGAGAGGCACAAGGAATTACAAAAACGACTGACACTGAGAAAAAATGTGCACGATGACTTTTGAGCTCTATAGCCCTCCAAGCGGGCGGTCAGTTTTAAATCTCACCTGTGGTTCCTTTCCCGCATGTCATTCCCCACTCTCTCTCTCTCTCTCCACGATTTTCTGACTCTCTCCACTGTCCTAACTCTAGTTAAAGGCATAAAAGCCCCCAAATAAACCTCTAAAGCCTATAATACCCCACCTACTTTCTCACATAAAAAAAAAAAAATTAAACCCGACACAATGTAGCCTTTATCGCCTGCAGTTACGCTTCTGAGTAAGATGAAGGAGTAACCAGCGAAACATCAGAACCAGGTCTGAAAAATCCTTCTGCTCCCCTGCAGTCACTACTGGGCATAATCTTGAGCCCTATTTTGACGGCATTAAAGCCCTTTTTTAATTATTGGAATAAATTAAAAGAAGGCCCCTCTTCCCGGCCACATATTATTCTGATTCTGAAAAAGACCTTAGCATTCTAGGCTACAGGCTACCTAACTTCACAGTTCACACGGTTTACTGTTTATATTGCCATCACTGTCAGTAACATCAGTTGTAAACGCTATCGGCTATGAGACAAATGTAACTGAGCGACTGAATCCTTCACTGCTGACAGGAAATACCGTTGTGTGTTAATTCTGTCAGACAGAGCAGCAGAATGAGCTAACAGACTGATGCTGTCCAAACAGCTTGGATGTCCGATGTCTGCAACGTATATCTGCGCGCAACCTCACTGTTCTGTTTATTATAAACTATAAACTGGTCTGTGTGAACTTTCATTGTGAGGTTTGCTGTCAGTTAAATGAAAAGATATTCTAAAATCGGTATGAGCTGCTGTAATGTATTACTAATACGTATTGATAATCCTGAAGATTTAATTTAAATAATAACATTTATTTGTGCAGCCCATATTATGACTTTATCATATAGAATGACTTCACTCAACTAAATACAGGCAGCCTGTCAGTCAGAGAAAGAGAGCGAGGCAGAGAGAGAACATTTTTCTACGCTCTTCTTTCCTATTTGATTTTGAGGATTATTGTGAATGCTCCGTTGTTCCCAAGGCTCTGCATTGTTTATGTATTCCGCGCTCAGAGCTTGGAAACAAACAGAAACAGAAGCAAAAATGTTCCGTCTCTCAAAGCCCTTTCCAATTAAATTCTAGGATTGAATGTATCAGTAAATGCACTGGTATGAAAATGTGAAGTTGGTGCATCGTGTGTTGTGAACGCCAATGTCTGCCCATCTTGGGTCCTCAAATGCTTCCACTTAATATAAGTACACTGCGCCACAGACTTTACACTGTAGACCAAGTTTTAGGTATTCCAAGGCACAGTAATTTTCTTCGTCCTCAACATAGGAACATGCCAGCTTTGCACCTAACCGCAGCTCATTTGAAAACAAAGACTTTTTTAAGTGTGGTTGTATGAGTTATATGAATAACTAAGTGTACAAGCCACAGGAGATGCCGGTCACCTCTGCCCCTTTAGTAGTCACGGCTGGACCTATTTAATCTATTACTTTTGGTGAACAATATAAATACAATTATGTTGACATTGATCTCGAAAGCACTTCTAAATAATACAAAAGGGAGTTCATATTTATCTGACTTCTTGTCTTTATTAAGTCCATGTGCAGTTATATAGAACATTGAGAATGCAACCACTTGTTATGAATTGTGATGCATCGTAAAATCGAATCATTGAGAGGATAATCCTAATTGAATTAAATCGTGACCAGTGGAGATGCACAACCCTTTTCACTAATGTTTTAATACCATAGTTATTATAAAGTGAGACCCATGTTTTGATAATAGCTCTTAATAAAGAAACAATCTTACTGCAATAAGTGATCAGCACAAGGTTTTGTACAATCCATATAATAATTCAACAAATCAGCAATCCTTCCTTCACTACTGGGACATTGATGTCAATTTCAGTTTTTGTCTCATTCAGACAAACTCAAACAGGGTCAAAGCTAAATATATCTGCTATGTGCCTGCCAGATGGAGTTTTGGAAAACCCGCAGCGTCTACACGGTGACCAGCAACAGCGAGGGGCGCTCCGAGCGTGCGGACACAGTGTACATGGTGGTGCCGCTGCTGGGAGTGGCTCTGCTCATCATCATAGGTCTATTCCTTCTGTGGAGGTGCCAGCTTCAGAAGGCCACACGGCGACGACCTGCATACACCCAGAACCGCTACTTAGCCAACAACCGGAGCAACCGCAGCTTGCCCCGCATCCTGGTTCATAGGGACCCAGCAATGCACACTGGAGGCTCATACCACCAGTCCAGCTCACATCCAGTTGTGGTGGTGAGCGGTGCTGAGAGAGGAGATGGATCTCATTCAGACCCCCATGGCCCCCACCACACCCATGCTCTCTACCTCCAGAATTCTTCTCTGTTTGTGGCATCGCAGCTGTGTGGTGCTACACCTCCCCCTTCTTATGAAGAAGTAACTAGACACCTTGAAAGCAGTGGTGATGAGACCTCAACACCATCCTACAGTGAGCCCCCACCCAAATATGAAGAGATCATAAAGGAGAAATGAGATTAACACTATGCTGCCATGGCAGGTCTGCATCTGACGGAGCTGCTGGCTGCGAGTCTCTCAAAGCCAGGTTGTTATTCCAATTTCTTTATGCCATAAAATATTTGGTTGTGACCTTAAGTCTTAGTGTATGTGCCACCCAGGATGATGTTATAGTTCACTGAAACACCTGGTCACACTCTCCATTTGTCTGGTCTGAGTTTTGCTTGTGACGGATGGTCCCAGGTGCTGTATCCTACCTCTCTGGTGAGGATTTGACCTACAGGGTACTGATCGAGCACTGCCCCACCAGCTGCCATTGTTGGAATTATATCACTCTCGATGCACAGTCACTGTGACTGTTAAGTTTCCTTGTGTCTTGTCAGACTGTGATTCTCTGTACATGCTCAGACTAGAGCAGGGGTGTCCAAAGTGCGGCCCAAGGGCCATTTGCGGCCCTTGAGGGGATTTTTTGCGGCCCGTGACTTCAAATGACGAATCAGAAGATTTTGGCCCAAGGCCTCGATTAAGATTGGCACATTATCTTATTTTTCTTTTTCATGTTAACAAGGGCTGAACAATATTCCTAAAATAGAAAATGTTCAGTAACATGTATGTTGTTGTTTTTTTACATGTAAATCTACAGCTTTTACTATTTTCAGAAATCTTTTCCAAAAACATGAACCACGTTACAGGCTTGATTCTGAGAAAAAAACAAATAAAGTAGAACGGAGAAATCTAAATATTTTATTTCCTTTTATTAAAGGTTTTTTTTTTAGCGAGCCTTTTGATTCTGATCTACAAAGCCTTACTATTTTTTCAACAATATTTTAAAAAACAAAACCTGTGGCCCGTGAGCGATTCTAACACGACTATTTTGGCCCACAAGAAAAAAAGTTTGGACACCACTGGACTAGAGCATAGGCATTTGGAGCCAAAATTGTGGGTAATGGGATATTGTCACGGTTCATTGGCAAGTTAGATCATTAAGAAGTCTGGTTTTCACAGATTAGAACTGTACCTACAATCAGTCCAATCTAATTTGACTGTTCACTAACAAGCTCAAATTCTTTCTGCCTCATGTTTTACCTGTACAATATGTGTTGAACAGAGTTTTCAGTAAAGACATTAAATCTTTCTTCAGGGGACTATTTTCTTACTGTTATAAGTTATGTCACAGTTGTTTGTATGTTTAAACAGAAACCTATAATATACTGTATGTTTGAACAGATGAAGGAATTCAGTAAACTTGCTGTGTCTGATTCTGTACTGAAGAGCGTCTGAGAAACTCTGGAGCGTGGTCTCCTTAGCAACAAATATTACTCTTTCTGTATTCTGATACATTTTTATGCAACAATTTGTACCTTTTCTGCACCATGTTATGAATATGAGCTAATCTTTTGTCTTTTTAAAATCTCTTTAATCTCTTTAATGTGAAACATTTTTAGACACATTCATTTGAATTCTTTTACAAAAGGTATCTGGTATCACTTATGAATACTTAACATTATCCGAACCATTTTTACGTTGTTATTCTTCTGTTGTTTGTATTATGTGCTTTAACTTTTAAAAACTTCATTACTACATTAGTCTGAAATAATAATGGGATTTTGAGCAAACTGTTTTCAGAACAAGGTCTGCAAAACATGACTTATTGCTGTGGTTTTATGCAACAAAAATACTTAATAAATAAAAGAAATAAATTCCCAAAGTTTAAAAAAATGTGCAAAATACAAAATACATCTGCTATCCAGAGCCCTGCTCCTCCCTATTTCTAATACCTTTCTGTACACAAAGCTCAGTCTTGGCAAACTCAGCCTGAAACGTTGAAATTGACCATCAAGCTGAACCATTTACTGTTCCTCTTTTGAGATTTGTTGGAAAACAGTAGATCATCTACCAAAGCAAACATAATTTATTCATTAGTTTCCAGAATTAAGGGCTTCTGAAGTACTTCAGTGGAATAATAATGAAGACAATACTTAAGTTTACAGCATAAGGTTAACCAGCAGCTGCAGCAGCTTTAGTACAGTACTGCTGCTTTTATCTTTCAAGTTTTGATTTTATCTTCCTTGTTGACTGACACCTTAATGGAATTCCATAAATGTGTTGGAGTTGGATGGTGAAAAGACATCCAATCATTTAAAACAATATTCCATCCATCAGTCATGATTTGAAATATATTGTATATGAGTCCTTCATTTTGTGCTTCATTTTTGTTTAATGGAAACATAAATATTGTGTACACCAGGATGCGTTGTGTCTGTGCAGTTGTGGCGCTTAACACTGCTATGGCTGCTGCTTCCATTTCCTTTAGATCATTATAGAACTGTCTGTGCTGTACTTATCACAGGTTTGTCAAAGTGTTGTCTATTGTGCAGAGTGATGTTTACATTTGGGTCACATATTATTTCACTACATGTGATAAGGTGAACCTAGTTTTCTGCCAGTGGCTTATTTTTGTATTCTTTTGTACTCGAAGTTGTTCACTGCCTTTAACTGCCACTGCCTGTTCCACATGGGTCTTTCTTTGACCTCATTCCACACAGAAATATCCACTGACTGTGGATGAATGTAGCCTATATATCATGTAAAACACCAAAATTGATGTGTTGTATATTTAAATATAAGTGTATTAATCTCTTGTATAACTTTCATTGGTCTTTTTAAAAATTCTATTAATATTAAATGTAGAGATTCTTTCAGCCATGATGATGGATGTTGTTTTGTCCAAACAGCAGACTTTCTTTGCAGGTCTGGCCTCACACTGATTGGCCAGCTTCATGAAAAACTGCAGCATGACCAGCAAGAAGTCCATCTTCTTATATCTGAACCAGCATCACTGCTTTACTGATACTACTTCACTTTATTTTTTAAATCTACAAATGTCAGTACAAAAGTGCATTTGCGTGATAATTCTACTGGAATGTCAACACTACATCACATTTATGTTCCTTTAGAGATACATTGTGTCAGTTTATTACTTCCAATGTTTTTCTATATTTACTGGTTTACTGTGCAGATTAGAAGAGAAATAGAAAGAGAGAGAAATAGATTCCTTTATCCAGTCACTTATTGACCAGTGTGTAAATATTTCAGAAACATGTCATCCTTATGATTTAATGCTTATTGTTTACTTTAAAATGAGCTGTTTGCATCCACATACATTGTGCATATGTTATAAGTTTGAAAATCCTTATGTAATTTCCTTGTGTTTTGTATGAAGTGTTTTTCCTCGAGTTACTAATATTTTCCTCATGAGTAGTTACATTTAATTATTTTTAAGAGTAATTATTGCCAGTAGCCTAGGTATACCATGTAGCCATACTGCCATCAGGTGGTTTCCACCCAATGTGTCACTTAAATTTGCAGATTTGAACTTGCATAGTGTGATCCAGTGAAACAGTGGATGATGCTGGGTGCAGCAGTTGCCTTTCATATACCCCCACCCTGCTGATTTTGCTCTCTCTTCAAAAGGAACAGCTTTGCAAAAAGATTAATGGACTTGTGTAGTGTGCAGACTTGTTCATTGCCTAAGCTAATAAGCTTAGGTAAGCTATCCTACAGTATATGCTCACACAGGTGGCAGACCCTTGGAAGGTTGCAGGCTTTATTGGAAGTGAAGTGGGGCAGCTGTGGCTTACCGGTAGATTTGGTAATTTCTCAACCAGAAGGTTGGGGGGACAAATCCCCGGCTCCTGCAGTCACATGTCGAAGTGTCCTTGGGCAAGACACTGAACTCCAAATTGCTCCCGTTGCTGCGCCAGTAGGGTATGAATGGGATTAGTTAATAGTGATGGACATTTTACATAAAGTAGTATGTAAATGTGGTGTGAACGGGTAAGTGTGACATGCAGTGTAAAAACCGCTCAGAGCTACACAGTAGATCCCAGCTGATGGAGGCGATGCCAGAGGAAATAACATTATAATTATTGTTATAATTATAATTGATCATTATTATTATTATTATTAGACACCTTCACATGGCATGTGAAAAACGGTGCTGCATATAAATCTAAATTTGAATGAGAGGGGAGTTTTTGAATTTGGGAAAATGGGATTCTTTAATTAATTCAATAATTTGAATTTTGTAAGAAAATAATAAAAAGGGAACTTATTCAATAGAAAATTTGGTTTACTGTTTGTCAAGATATTCAACTAATTAAGTTCAGCCTTGGCCGATACATGGTGGCAGATTTTTAAAACAACGTTGGACAACGTTAATGTAGGTTACAGTATTTATTTCCGACTTACCTTGCAGTACAGAATTGTTCACAGAGGTTCAAAGCTTTTACTAAAATTGATCAGATTATCAATAATAACACACAGTGATATTATACACACAGTTTTCATTAGTTTCTTCTCTTTATGTTTCACATGTTTGACCTGCAAAGAATGTTTCGTCCAGCTGGGATGACAGGTTACTAATAAGCATCATAACCAAGAGGTCTCCTCAAAGTTTTGCTAAAGTCTGGTTACCATTAGTTCACTGCGTAACATACAGATTAGCAGCAAAGCTTTTTTTTCAAGCTGGAGATATCCCTTTAAAAGAAACAGTACTTGAACCAGTTTTCTATTACCTACTGACCTCATTAAGTACAAATATTTTACCTGTGTAAGCACTCAAAATGTCTTTTTTGTTTTACTGGGATGGTCAGACATGCAGAGGTTTCACATATTTCATGTTACACACAGTTCACGGGAATTACAGAGCTATTAGTCCATAGTGGTTGTACTGATTCAGCTCCTCAGACAGGGCGGGGCAGCCTCAGGGGGGGTGGGTGAAGCAGGTGGGGTCAGTCGAGAGAGTGAAAGTTGACTCTGGGACGGTCCAATTGAAGACTTCCTGGAGACTGAACTTAAGCAGTAAATAAGGAAAAAAAAGTGTGTTAAAATAAATTCATATTAGTCATCACACATACGGCTGTGTGAGTATCAAACTAAAATGTTCAATGTCAATGTCAGGATACGATTATTGTTTTTTAGGATTTTTAGGTAACCTGACACACTGCTGAGTTCATAAAATGTGCAGTGATCAGTCATATAAAATATTATGCAATCCTCTAATGTCTGTTGCTGAAGTGTGGGGAGAGTTCCTTACCCTTCTCCCGGCCCCATGTCGTCGTTCTTCTCCCCCTCCACAGAGTTCCCTGTGTTATGAGCACTGCTGTCCTCGTCCTCTTCGTCCTCCACATTATTTCTCTGTGAACAAGGCCAGCTCAGCCCCCTGTTGGTCAGCTCGCTGTGTTCTGTGGGTTCGACGACGATGGAAGGGAGACGCTCCCTTCTGTATAGAAAGTCTTCAGGATAAGAGCTGGAGTCCGATTCTTCATTTGTGTTGGCTTCTGGGAAGATCTGGTCCAAAGGGGGTTCATAGAGATGTTCATTAGCCTGCTAACTTTAGTACTGTATTTCAAGTTATACATCTTCAAAAAAAATTGAGATAATTACAAAATCCACAATTTCATATTGGAGACTGCTATGGCACAGGGT